GAGGCAGAGAAAATCAGTCAGCTTTCTTTTTATCACTCGCCAGCATGTGGTGTTGTAGACAGCCTGCAAAACAACAGCTGCTGTGAGAAAAAATATGTCATAAAAATGTGCTATAAAGAAAAGATGTGTATGCGTAAGGATATGTTTAAGCATCTGAGTCAGTTAATAAATACAGGATTTACATTTAAGATTTACAATCTCAAATGTTTAATATGCCAACCAACATACATGCAGAATATTTGAGTTTCCCATCGCCATAAAGGCCTTTAAGATTTTCTTTTTTTTTTTTTTTTAGGTACGTTTATTTGGCTCCATCTACTGGTAAGCCTTTGTAACTGCATCTTGTTTTTATTATGGCAGCAAAGGCTTTGCATAATCTGTAATGAATATTTAACACTGTCACATAAACACTTAAACACAAGGTAAGGCTTAATATTATATAAATGATGTCCTAATGTCATAGTTCAGTTTTTTTAAGTCCTTGCCTAAATTTAATTTCAGAACACTGTCACAGCAAAATAGAACACTTATAGCTACTATGGAGAGGGGAAAAAGCAGAGAGAACAAACAATGAATATATATAAAACAAATATAAAAAAGTGAAATAATTGCAAACAATGCAACATTTGAGAATAGTGGGAGAATGTAGCAGGATGAAAAGTGTTCATTCTGTCCTCCAGAAGCATAAGGCTAGAGCAGCATTACTACAGTGAAAGTTTAGGATAACCTGACCCCCTCCAACTATAGAATTGAAGTAGTGCAATGTCTTGGGAGGCAACATGTGTGCTTAACTGCCTTCTTTGAAGCCATAAGGCATATAAAACTGCCCCCTAGGAGCCAAAAAGGCATGCTAAAGTGCCCTCTTTGCAGCCAAAACGCATGTTTAAGTGCCCCCTTTGGAGCCAAAGCATGTCCTTAATGCCTTAGCTGAAAACAAAACATGTGTTAAACTGCCCCCTTTGGAGCAAAACCACACATTTAAGTGTACCCTTTGGAGCCAAACATGGGCTAAAGTGCCCTCTAGGGACACTGTCATGATCTTGGCGATGATGTCTAGTCTGATTACTCATTTCACTCTCCTGCCTATCTCCGCCCAATTCTCATTACCCCTCCTTTGATCCACCTGCTTCAGCCTCTATTTAACCAGCCTTAAGACCAGTTATCAGTGCCAGATTATTTCAAGCCTGTGATGAGAGTTCTCTACTGTACCTGTGTTTTCTGATTGCCTGATCCTGACCCATTCTGCCTCTGGAAATCCGCCTAACTACAGTTTGTTTTTGTCCCGTTTTTTTGTTTCAGGTCAATGGAAAACTTTTTTCCATCAACATTAGGCTGCTGTGGCAGCTGACAGACCTTATAGAAATATTTAAAGGAAAGAAATATATTTATTTTAATTCAAGTCTTCATTTCTACTTTGTAATTTGGGAGATGACCACATTTCTTTTTATTAATCTCTGCTGTTAGATGTGCTGCACAGCATGTATAGTATACTGTATACAGAGAGCAATACTGTGTACTTTGGTTTCATATATATTGCTTTCAGAGGCGTCAAGAAACAAAGTACAAATACTTTGTTACCTTACTTAAGTAGAAATTTTGTCTATCTATTATCACTGTCTTGGTTCTGTTATGTTTTCTTTTAAGTATTCAGTTTTACTTTGCTCCATGTTTTCTAGTTTTATTTGTTTCATTCCTATTTTGTTGTGTTTTCTGGTTATATTTGTTGCCCTCTTGTGTTGGTCTCCTTTTCCCCAGCTCCTTCCTAGGCTGCTCTCTTCACACCTGCTCCCAATCTGCTCATTAGTCCTCTCTTTGTTCAGTCTACCATAAATACTCTCCTTGCGCTGTTGCTCAGTGCTGGTTCCTCGTCTTACCTTGTCTTACCCAGGCCCCTCGTGATTATTTTCCCCTGGTGTCTCCATGGTTCTGGTTTGTTTTACATTTTTCATGTTGGATTTTTGGATTCCTACCTTTGTTTACTGTTATCACTAATTAAAACAGCAGGAAATCACCTCTGCATCTGCATTTGGGTCCTCAAACCTCAACCCAACCCTGACATCTATACTTGAGTAATTATTTTATAACTTTTATTTCTACTCCAGCTCATTTTCATTGTAGCATGTTAGTATTTATAAAAAATAAAATAAAAAACATCAAAATAATTTGTTTCATCCAGACAATGAATTTCATTGTGTTTGGTATTGTTGTTGTTCATCACAACAACAACAACACCAACTTGTGACTAACTTGTTGTATACCACAGACCAAACAATTTTTCAAGGTGATGTGAAGCTAAATTTGACACTGTTACCATTAGTTCTAAGATTAAGAAAACTAAATGCAAGGAATTTATCATCCAGAGTTGTAGAAAAATATTCCTTTATTACAGTAGATTAAAGTATCTGTCCCTAACATTTCTTTCTGCACTACTTTTAAACTTTAAATCGTTTTTAAAAAATGACTTTTACGCTTTAACTTCAGTTAAAAGCTGAAGTTGATAATCTAACTTTAATACTTTTGACACCTCAGATTTCTATACATTTAGGCATATATATATATATATATATATATATATATATATATATATATATATATATATATATATATACATAGATATATATAGATCTATCTAGATATATATCTTATTTAAGTGGGCTTTCAAAACAATCATTTGATCCTTACTTATTCTCATTTGCTCTCTTTTGCTTTCTTTACCTGGTACAAACACAGTGGAGTACTTCTATGAGGCCAAGGCATCCTGACCTCACTCCCTTCTGACACTTGGAAATGATCATCATGCAGAGGTGGATAATCCAGGTCCAAACCCTGCCTTGTTTTCCTTCATCTTGTTCACTTAACCAGGAGTTTAACTCCTCAGATGATGAGTCTGTGTTGTGGTGCTGCAAATGCAAATTGTTAGAACTGATCTCTGTACAGGCATTTTGCTTTCTGGACCTGGATTATCCACTTCAGTCAGCATGCATCTTAAGGATCTGTCATCACTAGTGGGCATGCATTGGACCATGACACACAGTTTCCAACCATCAATGTTTGCTTCAAGGCATTTTCTTTATTTTGCACTTTAAATAACCAAAGCAGTGTGAACATCTGTGGGAATTCCTGCAAAGAGCAGCCTATGAAATACCAGGAGAAAAGCCTGAACTCTTCAAACTAGAATACTTGCTACCAGTGGAGCTAAAAGCCTAAAATACAGCTTGTTACTACCAGTTTAACACTTGGCCTGTTGCTGTTCTCAGATGTTATACACACTGCTGTGCATTGTTTAAATGACACTAATTCAAATTATTCCATGATTAACTTCCTTTGTGTATTTTGGTTATTAAGTGTTATTAAATTTCAAGATGGTGCTTTGTACAGATTCCATAAAGTTTTATTGCATAAAACATGTATTGCATGACCAAATTCAGTATGAATTGTGTTATAGATAAGAGTAATCTATTGCACCTTACTTTCCTAATGATTGTAATGTAATATTTTGATATTAACAAAGATACTGGACAATTTTACCAAGAATTTAAAATTATTACTAAACTAATATAAATAGCTGGTGAACAAAAAATAAATAAAACTATGGTTAATTTGAAACAGAATTGGGGTAAAAGAAATAAAAAATTATAAAGTTAAATGATTTGGCCCAGTATTTGGGTAGAGGCAATAACAAATAGGCGTGGTTGAATTTATCCAAATTTGCAGTTAATTCAGCCCATAATTTGGATAGAATATCATAAACCCATTTGATGGGTTATAATCAGTACTGAAGTTGAGGGGGGATGGCACCCACCTTCTTAAAAAAATCTTAAAAATCATCCCCCTTCTTAAATGAGCATCCCCCCATACCTTCCCCTGTGACATTTTATTATCTAATGTGTAGAATTTCTATTATGTATTAACAGTAATGGCAATAATATTGCCCTTTCAACATTTGGTGGGCTGTGGGCTTACGAGTAACCTGAAAAATAAAATAAATAAAATCAAAGAATTGACTTACCATGACAATGAAGCTGAGTGGGAAATGAGTCCCTAACTATGTAGGGGCAGTGATAGCCATGCCACCCAGTCCTGTAAGGTGCCCCAGTCAAGGTCAATGATTGACTTACCTGACATGTAACATCCATACTGTGCATCCTGCTTTAGGTTAATAGACTACATTAATTAGGCTATGTATGCTTCCAAAGAAGTAAAAAAAAAAAAAAAAAAAAAATTAATAAAAACAATCCACTGGACTTTGTTTCTAAGTTTCCAAAACTTGTTTGGTTTAGATATCATGCAAAATGAACCAGAAGAAAAAGCAAGTTTTTGGGCTACTATATAAAGCTTCTAACTCAACGCTATTTCTGACATTTTCAATTGAAAAAGCAAAACGTCTTCAAACTTGGAAACGAAGTCAGGTGGATTGTTCTTTTTAACTTTTTGGGAACAAAGTGAATTCATTCTTGAAATTTTAATCAATACAGAGACTAACAAACTTTTTTAATGAATTGGACTCATGGCAATTTGTTGTTTTGCATGTAGACATGAAGGAAACCATGAAGTTTTTTTCTAATTTTTTTTTTTTTTTTTTTTTTTATGACTATGACCTGGATGACTGATATGATGATGATCTTCCACAAAAAAATAATAATAATAATAATAATTCCACCATCCCCCTTTTTCTTTTTTTAACAACTGAACTACTGGTTATAATGGACCCAATGTTGATGGCTCAAATCATCTGGTGCTGGGCTCAGCTTGGCTGGACATACCCAGTTTGGCTTATTTATGAGCAACTTGTTTTTTGTGTGTAAAAAAGCAAATTGTAAACTATATGTTTAAATGAACTGATCGTTTATTATACTGGCTGTTATGTAGTTTGGAGAACAAATGAAATGAATCGGAAGCGTCGGAAAAGCTTTGAAGATTGTCTCTGATTGGGACTAATTCAGCTCTCACGGACATTTGGATGCCTGTGAATTTTTGCCGGCTGGTTGCGCATCCCCTTGAAGCCCAGCCCTATCAGAGGAGCCACAGCCTCCTGGCGGATCACGGCCCATGCGCAGCGCAAAGAGGCTTTTTTATTCTGTTTGAATGAGGAAAAACTCGCCTCTGCTTGTCTGAAAGCTGTCACATGGGTCCACGGAGGAAAACAATCGCTTCCTGAAATGATTCTCGCCTTCTTTGCGCTCTGTTGTTCTTCGCCCTTCCCCGTTTCCACCGTGGTGGCGCATCGCTTGTAATTTGCTTTTTTTTTTTTTTTTTTCTTCTCGCCCGGATCTTTTGGCCCACAGCGGGTCGGTGCCGAAGATGATCAGCAAAGTGAAAAACGCGATGTCGAACTTGGTGGGAGGGATGATGCCTCATGGACATCACCACCACCACCACAATCATCACTCAGGTGGAGGCCAGAACTGCGGACAGGAAGGCTTGCCGCATCGCTTCCCTTACGGCCGACCGGATTTCTTGGACCTCACCCCGGAGCTCCTGCAGTACTCCACCGAGCACGCCACACGGCCGGTGGTCACCTTAAAGAGAGGCACCAGGCTTCCCTGGGGAACTGGATACGCAGAGTGAGTGCATTCATGCATGCATGCATGCATTCAGACACATATCGAGTCTATAGGACAATAAGCAGTGATAGGCAGTGTAGGTACAATGCCAGGCCTGCTGAGGGGGTTTGGTGCTGCAGCTGCTCTGTACGGTGGCTGAGAAGTGCAAAACACATTTACAATTCAAAAACACATTAACAAATAAAAAACAAAATAACATTTGAAGAAACAAAATTATATTTTGTGAAACAAATGTATTTTTGAAAAAAAAGTTTAAATTTTTAAAAACAAATTTACATTTTAGCAAACAAATTTACATTAACAAATAAACAAAATAAAATTTGAAGAAACAAAATTATATTTTATGAAACAAATGTATTTTTGAAAAAAAAAGTTAAAATTTTTAAAAACACATTTACAATTCAAAAACACATTAACAAATAAAAAACAAAATAAAATTTGAAGAAACAAAATTATATTTTATGAAACAAATGTATTTTTGAAAAAAAAAGTTTAAATTTTTAAAAACAAATTTACATTTTAGGAAACAAATTCACATTTTAAATAAGTTAGATTTTAGGTGAGAGAAAGTTTCATTTTAGAGAAAAAAAAATACATTATAGGGAAACAAATATACATCAAAAAAAAAATTGACCGTTCGGAAACACTTGTACAAGTGCAAAGACAAAACTGCAAGTGGCAAAACACATTTACATAGCCAAAAACAAATTAACAGAAGACGGCTACACGGAAAGGGAATGTCCCAGTGACCGGATGTGACGTCACGATTACCCTGACTTGTAGTACAAACAGCTCAAGCTGTAGTCCTCCTGCTTCACGTGAAAAGTCAGCGGCGATTTTAGATGGAAAGAATTGCACTGAAGCTGTTTTTCTTAAGTTTACGCTAACCGAACAATGTTTTCAGCCAATTTACACCATTTTGTTCTTCGTGCGGACGGTCTCTGGAACTTTTACGGGACACGGACCAGGTGGCAGGACCAAGCAGCAGGGCCGGGCGTATTACTGGCCGGAGCCACTATTATTTTGTCATGTAGTTTTTTAATTACTTTTCTTTGGTATTTAATTATTTTTTGGGTATTTTTCCTGCCGTTTTTCGGCAAATGCCTTATTTATAGTACTTCTAACTAGATTGTTTTATATATATATATATATATATATATATATATATATATATATATATATAGGCTATATATTGTGATGTTATCGCTTAATAACCTGTATTAAAATGTATTCTTTATGGGTTTCTTTTTATTGTGATGTTATTGCTTAATAAACTGTATTAAAACTTTTATAATGTCACATTTACTTGATGGAACGGAGTACTTTATCTGCGAATAAGTGGCCTCGGCCGGCAGCAGCCACCATCGGCCTCTCCGATGGCAAGCTCTGCCGGCAGCGGCCACCATCGGCCTCTCCGATGGCAAGCTCTGCCGACAGCGGCCACCATCGGCCTCTCCGATGGCAAGCTCTGCCGGCAGCGGCCACCATCGGCCTCTCCGATGGCAGGCTCTGCCGGCAGCGGCCACCATCGGCCTCTCCGATGGCAGGCTCTGCCGGCAGCGGCCACCATCGGCCTCTCCGATGGCAGGCTCTGCCGGCAGCGGCCACCATCGGCCTCTCCGATGGCAGGCTCTGCCGGCAGCGGCCACCATCGGCCTCTCCGATGGCAGGCTCTGCCGGCAGCGGCCACCATCGGCCTCTCCGATGGCAGGCTCTGCCGGCAGCCACTGTCACGAATTGAGCCCGGCCCTGCTGCTTGGTCCTGCCACCTTGTACCGTGTCCCGTAAAAGTTCCAGAGACCGTCCGCACGAAGAACAAAATGGTGTAAATTGGCTGAAAACATTGTTCGGTTAGCGTAAACTTAAGAAAAACAGCTTCAGTGCAATTCTTTCCATCTAAAATCGCCGCTGACTTTTCACGTGAAGCAGGAGGACTACAGATTGAGCTGTTTGTACTACAAGTCAGGGTAATCGTGACGTCACATCCGGCCACTGGGACATTCCCTTTCCGTGTAGCCGTCTTCTGTTAATTTGTTTTTGGCTATGTAAATGTGTTTTGCCACTTGCAGTTTTGTCTTTGCACTTGTACAAGTGTTTCCGAACGGTCAATTTTTTTTTAGATGTAAATTTGTTTCCCTATAATGTATTTTTTTTCTCTAAAATGAAACTTTCTCTCACCTAAAATCTAACTTATTTAAAATGTGAATTTGTTTCCTTAAATGTAAATTTGTTTTTAAAAATTTAAACTTTTTTTTTCAAAAATAAATTGTTTCATAAAATATAATTGTTACTTCAAATGTTATTTTGTTTTTTATTTGTTAATGTGTTTTTGAATTGTAAATGTGTTTTTAAAAATTTAAACTTTTTTTTTTCAAAAATACATTTGTTTCATAAAATATAATTTTGTTTCTTCAAATGTTATTTTGTTTATTTGTTAATGTAAATTTGTTTGCTAAAATGTAAATTTGTTTTTAAAAATTTAAACTTTTTTTTTAAAAATACATTTGTTTCACAAAATATAATTTTGTTTCTTCAAATGTTATTTTGTTTTTTATTTGTTAATGTGTTTTTGAATTGTAAATGTGTTTTGCACTTCTCAGCCACCGTAGCTCTGTGATGGTCAGTGCGCGCCCTCACTGTCAGGCTGCTCTACCTCTGCTTTAAGAGGCCAAGCAATGAGATTAGAAAAAGACTAAACTGGCATTGGTCAAAATGAATAACTTTAAAGCAGAATTAAGAAACAGGAAACATGGATATAATGACTGAAAACAGATTGCTGAGGCGCTGGTTATCTAGAAAGCAGAAATGCAAAACAGAATGTGCACAGGGCCGGCCCAAAGTTTTATGGGGCCTTGAGCAAAAGTATATTCCGGGGCCTCAACTGTCAGATGATACGATCTCATACCCCTACTATAAACTTAATACAGGTCTGATGTAACGGATGTGTAGTAATGCGATGAAGGACAAGCACTCAAAGAACCGTTTTGCTGCTTTTATTTTCTCCTGCAGACAGTGGGGGTTTTAGACCAAATGTACCAGGGGGCCAGGAGGGGGCCAGGCTGTTTTCATGCATGAAATAAAAAAACAGGCCAAGGGATTCAAATATGTTGAGCCTGAAGTGAAATTTCCATTCAATTAGGTTTAATTAAAAGTATTGCTTATTAGGTCAATATGCATTCATAATTTAGGAATGGGACTTATTTGTGACCTAATTTAAGTTAGAATGACCGTTTTCTATAAAATCTGAGTTAGAACTCAAGACAAACTGAATAATTTGGCTGTAAAAAGTAGAGCAAAAAAACATTTAGCAGATGAAAACTGGGATCCTATCTCAATACCACTGAAGCTATCACCTTATTGTTTTTAGATAATTAGTAAAACAGCATTTAAAAAAAAAAAAAAAAAAAAAAACTATTCATTACTATGTCTGTCCCAGCAAATATCATCATTAGAATTTCTTTGTGTATTATGTTTTCAGTGCAGGGGCCAAGACATGATCTACAGGGACACTGGCCCCCGTTGGCCCCTGTCTAGAACCGCCCATGCCTGCAAATGACATAAAAAAAAATAAGAAACTGTCTCCAAGTATGCTGTCCTGCACATCCGCTCCCCCAGCAACACGAACACCGTTGTGAGGTCTATAACTTTACAGTGAGACATTTTATATTGAGGTATATTATAGTGGCAAAATAAACACACTGCGTTGGGTGGCGTGACAAACATAGAACAAAAACATTAATAATTTAACTAATGAAAAAATACCTGCAGATGACATAAAAAAATTAGAAACTGTCTTCAAGCATGCTGTCCTGCACATCCGCTCCTAAACATGCAAATGGACACTTTGCAAATTGCAAATTACACCGGTGTAGTCCAAATCGCGCCAGAAAATGTAAAACAAAAACAGCCTATAAAACGTATAATATTGGTCCGAATAACACAAAACAGCTCCTTAAAAATTCAGTATCTACCAGTGAACGACATACACCAAAGAATTTACTGTAAATGACGGAATTTTTAAAGAAACTTGTACAATTTTGGTGGTGCATTTTTCCACACAACTCACCCTCAGCAACACGAACACCATTGTGAGGTTTAGGGGAAGCCTAGGAGCAAAATTAAGGGTAGAGTGCAGGAAAGTAGACTTAATGAAATTGAATAATGCAAATGAAAATAACTACATGAGATAAAATTCAATAACTCAAAAAATAATCATAAAATGATAAGTTGAACCTACAAATACAAATTTGGAAAAGAAAAGAAATAATCAAGTGGAATTTTGACTATGTTACACTGTTGTTTACAGTGTATTATTTGTTGGTATCCTGCAATATTATAAAGTAATAAACCAACTTTTATGTGTCATGTTTATATTTGTTGGTCCAACAGCAATGTGCAAAAATAAACTGTAATGCAGGAACCAGAAAAAAAGCTTTGATAAATGAAGATTATAAATTATATTGTACAAAAACAGATAATTTAATCCATAGATGATAAACTGTCTAGATTATCTTTGTTTACCAAAGATAAGTTTGTCTCAAGAGAAGTTTACATTGGTCCTTACTTACAATGTATAAGTAATGATTTCTAGATTGTTACAGATATTTTCAAAAAAATGCAACATTTTATTACAAATTGTGTGTTTTGTTACTATGTTTATATGGAAAACATTATGTATGCATAAACATGCAAAAACAAACAAAAAGACTCAATTGACCTAGAAGGGGAAAGTTGCCCTGGGGCCCTCAGTAGTGGCTTAGTTCGCTTGTGCCCTGGGCCGGCCCTGAATGTAGTATCCTTCTCATCTCTAAACACAGATGACTTGCACAGCTTCATTTAAGACAATGTTTGACAGATTCCTGCAGAGGGAAGACACGTTTAGTCATGCCAAACTAATTATAGATTGAGTGTAATCTCATTTTCTATAGTGTAAGGACAATTTTCAGAATATATATTAGATAGAAACAGTCACTGCTCATTGTAGGGACCAAAGTCTGATCTATCTAAGGAAAAAGTGTGTTTTTGGGATAGGTTTAGTATCATGGGGGGTTTTTGACAGGGGATGCCCCTGTAGATCTTGTCCTCGCTCCTGTTGTGGTCCCTCTACTGAAGCCTCAACACTTGTAACTCTCGTCACGACAGACACGGATTGGTTTCTCTTTAACTGGCATTTATTTCGTCTTTTCTCTCATGTCGTTCAACATGAAACTCCATTAAGGTTCTTTATGACGTTCATACTTTTATGCCGTGAGAACTGTACAGACACAAATATATATATATCAGCTCAATCAGTGTACAAGTACAAATAAGAGCAAGATTCTGTGCTGCATAAGAATAAACAGATTTATCATTAAAACAAATAATAATACCTCATTAGCCGCTTGTCATGAAGAGAGGTTCTTTACACGCTTGAATCAGGCTTTGTAATCTTGCTTCATAGTGTAGCATCTATTAAATTTAACGTAGTGGTACACAAGTATGAACATTGGTTCCTGGCTAAACATAAAAGTGCAGAAAAGAGCAAACTTATGAAATAAATTATAAAATTAACCCGTATTTTATCTTATAACACGTCCATGAATTTACTCATTTAAAGTTTTACCTAAACAACAACATAAATTATGAATGATTAATTTTAACAAGAATTCAAAAGCACTTACACTCCCACCAAATCACTCATTAACTTGAATTGAGAGATTTCTAAGAAAAACTTTAAGATTGAGTCTAGAAAAATCAATGTATGCATGAATGTAAAGTTATCTGTACAACTTAGTTGGCCTCTATTAAAGTAACTACTTTGTGGATGGGCCTCTCAAGGTAAGTAGCTCTGGTTTGTAGTTTTCCTTTCTCAAGTGTGGTGTCACTGACAAGTAGCTTCAGCTTTCTCACCATGCCATCTGAGCTGGGCTGAACTTCCACCACTTTGCCAAGCTTCCATTCGTTTCTTGGTGAGTTGTCGTCTTGCAGTATCACTATGTCATTTACTTGTGAGTTTCGTGATTTTCGTTGCCACTTCTGCCTTTGTTGTAGATTAAGCAGATATTCACGCCTCCATCTTTGCCAAAATTCATTGGCTAGGAACTGCACTCTTCTCCACCTTTTACTCAGATAAAGGTCTTCTGCACAGAACTTTCCAGGTGGAGGCAGAATAACTGATGACTTCATGGTCAATATATGATTTGGTGTGAGAGGTTCTGGACCAGTTGGATCACGAAGATGTTCAACACTCAAGGGCCTGCTGTTGATTATAGCCATTGTTTCATATAGAAAGGTCCTCAAAGTTGTGGTGTCGAGTCTGCTTGCAGATTTGTCGAGCATGGCCGACAGGATGCTTCGAATCGTTCGGATTTGACGTTCCCATACGCCGCCCATATGACTCGCAGATGGAACGTTCATCACAAATTCACAGCCAATCTTTCTTTGTTGTTCTTGGTCCATTCCCTTTAATAACTCAGAAAACAATCTCCTGGCACCTACAAAATTTGTACCCTGATCGCTTCTCAGTTGGCGCACAGGTCCTCTGATGGCTATGAGTGTTCTTAGTGCATTCATGAAAGCATCTGTAGTTAAGTCATCTAGTAACTCTATGTGAACCGCTCTGCAACACAAACAGGTAAACAACAACCCGTATCGTTTTAACTCTCTTCTTCCCTCCTTCACAATAAAGGGACCAAAGCAATCTAGACCACAGTAAGTAAAGGGAGGAGAGGTCTTGGTTCTTTCTTCCGGCAGGTCTGACATTTGTTGAACCTCAGTTGTTCTTCTGTATCTCCTACATTTCACACATTTATGGATGTGAGATGAGACCACGTTTCCACATCCTATGATCCATATTCCGTTTGCACGCAGCTCGTTCATTGTCATGCCTCTCCCTTGGTGAAATATTTGCTCATGATGATGCTTAACAAGCAAGGATGACACATGAGATTTCTTTGGAAGTATTGCAGGGTGCTTTACATTATAATGTAAAGCTGCTTCAGACAGTCGTCCTCCCACCCTGAGAATGTTATTTTCATCCAAGAAAGCATTCAGCTGATGTAACTTGTTGTGTTTGCTCAGTGAGTATTGTTTCTGGAGCTTTAGCTTCTGTATATCTTCAGTGAAAGCTTCCTCTTGCACCAATCTAATGATTAAGATTTCAGCTTCTCTTTGTTCCTCAAGACTGGTTGAGTCATTTGTTCTTGCCTGAACACCTTTAAACATTCGAATTAGTCTCTTGAGCCTAGCGACAGCTTTCACTGCTCTAGACCAGTCAGAGAATTTAGTGAGACGATTCACCACTGATCTCTTTTCTTTTGTATTAACTGCCTGAACATACGATTTACGAAGCTCGGGGTCAGTTGTTTCAATTTCTCCCACCATTTCCCCTTGAGGTAGTGGATGCTGCTGCCACAGAAAGTCTGGCCCTTGCAGCCAATTAGACTCTTTCAGCTGGGCTCCACTTAGCCCCCTAGAGGCGCAGTCGGCTGGGTTAATTTCGGAGCTGACATGTCTCCACTGCTCAGGATTAGTGTTAGATCTTATGAACTGAATGCGGTTAGCAACAAACGTGTGGAATCTCTTGGCGTCGTTGTTGACATAACCGAGAACCACCTTTGAGTCAGTCCAGTAATAGTCTTTTAGATTTTCTATCTCAAGCTCTTTCTTAAGGGTTTTGCCATTACGGACTGAAGTGGCAGCTGATGACAGTTCAAGTCTCGGAATAGTCAATAATTTGGTTGGAGCCACCCTCGCCTTCCCCATAACAAGTGAGCAACTGATTTCTCCTGTTTCACTCGTTGCTTTGAGGTATGAGCATGCACCATATCCATCGAAGCTCGCATCCGAGAAGTTGTGAAGTTCATAATGCTTGACCTTTCCAAAGGTTGGTGGACAATAGCTTCTTTGGATCTTCAAGGCAGCTAAATGAGGCAGATCTTTAAGCCATGACTCCCATCTTGGCAAAATGTGATCAGGGAGATTTTCGTCCCAGCTTACTTTATCTCTGCATAACTCTTGAAGGATCTGTTTGCCAACCAATATGAAAGGGGCTACGAATCCTAAAGGGTCATAAACTGATGCAACAGTTGAGAGAACTCCTCTTCTTGTCAGTGGGTTCGCCTTCACCACAACCCTGAACTGAAATTCATCTGATTCGATGCACCATTGAACTCCGAGTGCTCGCTCAATATGAGGTTCTCCGAGGGTCATGTCCAGATCTTTGGAATGTGCACATTCTTCAGGTGGTATTGTGGCAAGTACTTCCTTTTTATTGGATACAAACTTGTGTAGCCGAAGGTTTCCTGTTCTGCACAAGGCTCTTGCCTCCTCAATGAGATTGATGGCTTCGCCTGGTGAGTCAACACTAATTAAGCCATCATCCACATAAAAGCTTCGTTTTATGAACTTGACAGACTCCTCACTGAACTTCCCAAGGCCCTGAGATGCAAGGTGTTTGAATCCGAAGTTGGAACAGCCAGGGGATGAAGCTGCCCCGAAGAGGTGCACCTTCATCCGGTAGACTGAGGGTTTTGAATTCAGATCACCATTGTCCCACCAGAGGAACCTTAGATAGTCTTGATGCTTCTTTGCTACTCGAAACTGGTGGAACATCCTTTCTATGTCGCACATTATAGCTATTGACCCTTTTCTGAATCTACATAAGACCCCAACTAGTGTGTTAGTCAGGTCTGGTCCAGTCAAGAGATTATCATTTAGAGAGGTTTCTTGAAAGCGTGCTGAACAGTCGAAAACCACACGGATTTTCCCAGGCTTATGGGGATGATATACTCCGTGGTGTGGAATATACCAGGCTGGTTTATTCTCAAGTTCAGCTTGGGGAACCTTCTCAGCATCTCCTCGATTGATTATGTCGTTCATGAAATGGACATAATCCTTGAAATACTGCTCGTTTTTCCTCAGTCGCCGTTCCAAGGCAGAGAGTCTGTGAACTGCACAGAGCTTGTTGTCTGGAAGATCAGGTTTAACTGTCTTGAGAGGAAGCGGGAGTTCAAAGTAGCCATCCTCCATTTGCTTGATACCTTCCTTCATTTTAGACAAAAAGAGAAGGTCTTCCTGTGAAACCATTATGTCGTCTGTGGTGTGCTCTGTGAAATCAGATTCAAGAGCTTTGATTATGTCTATAGGATTTATTTCTTTGACATGGGTTTTGCATACAAAGTGCACTTCTCTTCTTAATGTTGATGCAGGTTGCATGTCAGGTGTCACTTTATGTACTATGACTCTGTGGCTTGTTCCTATTGCATCACAGTAATCACTAGCTGCACTAAAGCTACCAATGATACTCCATCCAAGATCTGTGCGCTGAGCGTACGGATAATTTTCTTCACCAGACAGGATTTCTCTTGGAAGGAGGGCTTGTTGACAGTTATAACCAATTAGAAGGCCTACTTCACAATCTAATGGTGGTGGGATTTTGTCAACTAGTTGTTCTAGATGAGGCCAGCTTTGAGCTGTCTGGGAAGTTGGAATATGTGTCCTGTCTGCTGGAATGAACTCTCTTGTAAAAAGGGGTGGCAATGGGATTCTTTTGTCTAGGTTAAATCCCCTGACTTGCAAATTTGTCAGTTTCTGACAAGGTATGTCTGTTGACCTATTAGACATAGTAGACAGCCGTAAACAAACATTTTCTTTCCTTGTGTCGAGGTCGTGAGCCACTTCATCCAGAATGAAAGTTGTGTCGCTCTGCGTATCTAGAAGAGCATAGACCAGAATTTCTTGATCAGGCTTCTTTAAGGATGAGACCCAGACTGGCACAATTGGGGATGTCTGTGTGCTTAGGCCTGCCTGCATGACTCTATTAGTTGTTCCTGTTGAAACTGGTTCTTTGGTTACTGCTTTGTCCTTTAAGTTTTCGTTACCCTTTGGAGATCTGGATGTTTGACGCTCTGAAAAGTTGTCAACATGTAAACATGTTGGATGTTTTTTCTGACATTTTTCACATGTGTTTCTATTTTCACATTTTCTAGAGTGATGACCTGTCTTCAAGCACCCAAAGCAAAGCCTTTCTGTCTGAACAAACTTAACACGATCTTGAACTGTCTTTTCACAGAACTTCCTACAGTTGGCTAAGGTGTGGCCTGTTCTTTTGCAGAAATCACATAATGGGATATCGTGTTGGGTTGTGTTTGTAGACAGTGTCTTTGCTTGGATAGTTCGACTACGTTCTTGCCTTTGTCTTTCACCTTCTATCCTCTTGACTGCTTGAATGGATGAGATGGGATCACAAGCAAGATCTGCTTCCTTTGACAGTAAGTCAACCAACTCTTTGAATGATGGGTATCTGGCTTCTGAAAGTCTACTTTCCATCACCTTGCGGTTCCAACTAGACACTAACCAGTCTGGCAGTTTCAATAGGATTTTCTGACTTTCGTTACAGTCATTTAGGACTTCTAATGTTTTTATGTGGGGCATTGCAGCTTCACAACTCTGAAGGAAGTCTGCAAACTCTCTTAATTCAGAGCCATCTTTGGAGCTGATTTTTGGCCATCCATGTAACTGATCTCTAAAAGACTTCCCTATTATGAATGGGTCTCCAAAGCGTTTTTCCAACAGTTGCCAGGCTGCGTCGTATGCTGCTTCTGTGCCTAGTAGGAAAAATCCTTCCACTGCTTTCTTTGCAATGCCACCTAGATACTGTCTTAGGTAGTACAATTTTTCATTCTTGGGAATGTTCTTTCTGTCAATTAATGTTACAAATGACATTCGCCAATCATTGAACCTTAAAGGATCACCACGAAATACTGAAGGCTCTGGTGTAGGAAGACGATTGGCACTGATAGCTTCTGCTAGTGCACTGACTAAAGCAACATCTGGGCAGCTCTGCACCTGTATTGTGTGTGGCTGTGTTACTGCAGCCTGTGTTGTGGGATGGAGGGCTTGGGAGTGAGCATGACTTCTGTTTGGTGGGAACTGGGGAACAAATGGGGAACTTGAGGCTTGAAGGCTTTGGGTTATGGCTGGATGTGATTGTGGAATGAAAGGTGGACTTGAAACATGAAGAGTTTGAGTTGTGACTGGATGTGATTGTGGAATGAAAGGTGGACTTGAAACATGCAGGGTATGGGTTTGACTGGATGTGATTGTGGAATGAAAGGTGGACTTGAAACATGAAGAGTTTGAGTTGTGACTGGATGTGATTGTGGAATGAAAGGTGGACTTGAAACATGAAGATTTTGAGTTGTGACTGGCTGAGGACTAAGTTGTGGATCAGAACTTTGAAACTCCACTGCTGATTCAATATCATTCAGTGAGTTAAGTGAGCCACAGATTCCAGCTTGGTCATAGACTTTTGCTCGAGCTCTTGCAGCGTTTAGCTTCTTCACTTCTTCAAGGCGATCAAGTTTTCTGCGCTGTTCTTGAATAGCTTGCTGTCTAGCTAGCTTCTCAGATTCAAACTGTGCTAGTCGTTTTT